GTCATAGTGCACTTGGATATTAATATCCTAATACTTGCACAAGTCTTTTTTGATACCGTCTTTTGTCACCATGGATTACCTCATGTCATCATTTCAGATCAAGATCCACGCTTCACGAGAAGTTTTTGGTAAGTCTTCTTTAAGCTATTAGGCACATAACTTGTCATGTCTACAATCTTCCATCATTAAACAGATGGGCAAACAGAGCATGCAAATTGAACCTTAAAAGAAATGTTATCGGTATTTATGCAGTTTATCATAATGATTGGGATGAATACTTGACATCCTTGAAATTTGCTTATAATCATAGTATTCAAGCAAATATCGATCATTCATCACTTTTCTTTAATATTAATGTCATAATACATAAAATCTTGCTTGAAAATACTCTAGGTACCTAGTTATAGAAGATAAAAAGAATTTACAACAATAAGTCCTAACCACTCTAATAAAATCGTATATAAATTCCTATAGAAGCTTAACAACTACAATCAAGCATTAATTAAGTTCAATTATTTTTTATTTTATTTTATTTTATTTTATTTTTATAATTTTTGAAATAAATTATAAAAAATATACAAAGAAATCCTAAAGAAACCTAAAAAAATCCTAAAGAAATCCAAATCAAATCCTAAACCAAACCAAATCCTAATCCTAATCAAATCTTAAGCCTAATCAAAATCTAAAATCAATCGAAAATCCTAACCTTAATTCTAAATCAATTCCTAAATCAAATCCTAATCAATCCTAAGTAATTCCTATAGTAGATAACTAATGAATGAATAGTACTTTTGTTAAACTGACAAGGATATGAATCTAGAAGAAAGAAAATCCTCAATACATTCTAGTATCATTGAAGAGAAGTAGAGAGTCACTCAAACAGTGATGGAATATTAAACTAGAATGACTATTGTCAAAAATATGAAGACTAGAAAGTTGTGAAACAAGACTAAGGACTAAAAAGGTATTGAGAAGAGTGAACAAGGCTTCACTCTTGCTTCCATATATACTCTTAACTGGGTGCTATATAATAGTGTTGTATAGGACCTTCAAAACATGTTGACTTTACAAGATACATATCTTAATTTGTAAGGCAAGTTTTTTATATGTATGCTATCATATTGTAACATAACTATATGGTGAAAGATAATAATATGGATCTTATTATAGAAGAGCCAAGTTAAAAGATAAAATAAAATAACATAGATAAAAGATAGAAAGGTAGTAAAATTTTTAATAGTAGTACTGTTTTATTAGAAAAGTGACTTCTACTTACTTGGTAGAGCCATAAATAAGATAATATAAGATAGATTGGAAAAATAAATGATATAAATATCTTTAAAAAGAAATTAAGAGTAAATTATAGCAAAAATTACCTAGAAAAACTAAATATTGATACCCATAGAGGGCCGATTCTTAAGTAGGGTCGAAATCAAACCCCAAGGCACAAAACCAAGCCTCAACAATGATTTTGGGATTCTTTTGTAAATTAAAGAATAGAATTTGATAGCAAAATGGATAAGGTTTCTATGAGCATTTTTTTGTGTGATTTAAATTTGTAATGACTTTGCAAGAGCTTTACAAAATCAAGTTTCTTTTCAAATCACTTGGATTTTATGAAATAAAATAGGATTGATGTTTTAGGTGATTTCAAGAGTTTTGTAATAGATCTATAAGTAAAATTTGTAGATTAATGGATATAATTGTGCTTAATATGTGTTATGAATTATAGCTTGATCTAATAGTTGAATTGAGGGTTATTGAGGTTTAAGTGGATCAAAGTCTCAGAAAGTAGAATTTTAGGTCCAATGAGGGTTTTTAAGATTTCTTGTAATCTACTTGTTGGATTAGAGTGAAATTTATAGGTAAGAATAGTAGACTTATTTTCTTATGTATATAAGAATTTTGAAATCAATCAAATGGTAAAAAAAAGAGATATTGGCTCTGAGAGATTGGCATCAAGGTTGGAAAAAAAAGCTGGCCAATATCCAAGCACGTTTTTGAGGTTATTGTCTGTCTGATAATTCTGATCCTTTTCAAATTTTTTGTGCTTTTCTTTCAACTTAATTGTTAAGAAATATGTAAATTTTGAGTTAAAAAAAATAGTTCATTTAATAGTTATTGAAGTTTAAATCTATTGTAGGAATTAGTAGGATTTGATTTAGGGTTTATGATTTGGTTAGGATTTGATTTAGGATTTAGGATTTGGTTAGGATTTTATTTAGGAAAGATTTGTTTAGGATTTGGTTCAAGATTTAGGATTTGATTAGGATTTGATTTAAAATTTAGGATTTGATTAAGGTTTGATTTAGGATTAGGATTTGGTTAGGATTTGATTTAGGGTTAGGATTTGATTTAGGATTAGGATTTGGTTAAGGTTTGATTTAGGATTAGAGTTTGATTTAGGATTAAGATTTGGTTAGGAGTTGATTTAGAGTTTAGGATTTGGTTAGGATTTGATTTAGAATTTAGGATTTTATTTGGATTTATTTAGGATTTAAGATTTAGTTAGTTTTTGGCCTAAAGTTTGAATGAAGTCTAATAGGATTTTAATTAGGATTAAATTAAGATTGGATTGAGATGTATTTGAGATATATTTATAATCATTTTAATATTTTTTTAAGATTTCTTATTATTTCTTTGTAATTCTTTTGAGGTTTCTTTGAATTTGATTAAAGCTTGCTTAGCATTCTTAGTATTCAATTAGAATTAGGATTTTGTTGTTGTAATTTCCATTCTTCCTTCCACAGCCAAGTACCTAGAGCACTCTCAAGCAAGACTTCACATATTACGACAATGCTGCATAATTAGCTTATTCTACAAGCTATCAACACATGTGATTAAATTATTGACCAAGTTTCTAACCTATCAATCGACTACAAACATATGTAAAGTCAAGTAGCATCTATGAAGCTTCTAGAAAGCTTCTCTAAAAAATCTTTATGAAATTAAATTATTTTTATCTATTTTTATCTATTCCTATCTAATCATATAATTATTTACTAAAATATCTATGTATGTTTGTGATAGAACCTTAATTAAAAAGAATATTTTTAAAAGCATTTAAAACATTGTTTGAATATTCAATCAAATCAACTATTTTTGATGTTAGATTTTTGGGGCACAAAAAAAGAATAATAGGAGGAAATTAGACAAGAAGACATTTTCAACCTTATAAATAGTCTATGACATCCTGTATAGGCATTTATAAAGGTAAAAGAAAATATCAATAAAGTATTGATTTACTAATCAAAAAATTGTCTCAATATCCTCTATGTGCATATTATTTCATTATTTTTTGGTAATACAACCAATTGGTAAGATTGTTGCATTAGATATCTATTTTAATAATTATAAATTAATTAAAATAAATTAAAAATATTACTATGTTTTAATATATGTATATATTATTTACCTTATATATATATATATATATATATATATATAATTTTATAAAGTATATCAATTGATATAATTTAAATAATAAAACAAGATAAAATCTCTTATTTAAAAAATATATACTTATTTTTATTGAAAAAATAATAAAAACCAAATAATGATTTTTTTCTTAAAACCAACAATCTTGCAATAGATCATTTTTGAAGAGAGCTTTAAAAATATATTTATTTTTGAGAAAAAAAAGTTTTATTTTAGAATTAAAATATCATAAAGGTTTATATTATTCAATACCATATTTTGAAAAATAAATTAAAATATAAATTTAGACATAGTATGTTAGAAACAATTATAACATAAAACTTTACTTTTATATAAATTATATATATATATATATATATATATATATATATATATATATATATATATATATATATCTCAAGAATTTGATTTGTTATTTTTAAAAGAAAATATTATTTTAATACAATTTATTCTTCTAATTATAAGAGTCATAATAAAAAAAGTTATTATGAACAAATAAAGATGATTAGAAATTTTTGTATAAATTATAATTTACAAAGAATTTAATACTAAAAAAATATGTTTTATGTTCAAATATAAAAGAAATAAAGATTTTTTCTCTTTAAGTTATTATAAAGTTGATCTTATACATAAGAATTAACATAAAACTTGTTAGATCTATATAGAATATATATTAAGTTTTTTAAGTAATAATTTTTAATTAATATTCAATCATGCAAGATAAATATGATTGTAAAATATATTATATAATATTTCTTAGAAATTATTTTACATAAATTTTATTATAATTTTTTTATATAAATAATATTCTCGTAGTTTTTATTTCTTTAACTTCTTAAACTATAAAATCCTAAAAGAAATTATTAAAAACTTATCTTAATTTTTAATAAATTTTATTTCAAAATAATATCAAGTTGAGAATACGAAAAATCTATAAAAATACAATAATAGGTGTCTAAGACTAAAATGGCTAATTTTTAAGTGTAAAGTTATTTTTTTGAATGTAAAATGTTCAATTAAAAGTCCTGTTTTATCAATGTAGAATAAAAAAAATCTTATATGATTATGTAATTTTTTAGCTAAATTTATAAATACGTATAAATGCACCAATGAAAAATCAAAGTTATAAACATATGTTATATCTTAGCAACAAAAAAAAATGACTTTAAATCCATATACCATACTTAAAAATAATTAAAATTGATATTATATATTTATAAATCTACAATATTTGGATAATTCTTGAAAATATCATATTTTTTTATCCTGTTTTTGATAAAATAAAAAAATAAAAAATCAATCTTATAATATTATTTCATTAAAAAAATAAGATGTTATTATTTTAAGTAAATAAAAGTATGTAAAAATTATGTGAATGTATGGAATATAGGTACCATCTATATAATATCTTCCCTACATTATCAAAGAAATTATTTTGATTTGGTAGTAGTCACTAATTTTCCAAACACCTGACATGGAGGACCATAGAAAGGCCCGTTCACACCGCGGTCATTGTGGTGGTCATTGTGGTTCAGAGAAGGAGAAGTCTTCGTCGTCGTCGTTGTCCGAGGAAGCAATAGAGTTGGGTGATCTGCGAAGTGGTTTACGAGCAGGGGTGGGGCGAGATTTGGAGCGAGGAAGGAGAAGAACGAGGAGGAGGAGGAGCTGATGGAGGAGTAATGTTGTGGGTGGTGGTGGCTGAAGTGATGCAGGCGTGACTGCAGAGAGTGGGTGGGTTGGGTCAGGAATCGTGGTTTTGGCTTTCGTGGCAGGCGCGATGGTGGGGGAGAGGTGGACGGTTGTGGCAATCGCAGTCGCAATTTTGCCGCTTCTTGCATCGTTGAAGGAAGCTGGAGCGGTGACAGATCCCTTCCGGAGAGACCCTGGGCACCCACAATGGCATCATGGCAATTTCCAAGACCACAAGGACAATGTGCGGAGGATGACTCACGAGTTGCTTCACTCTCGTGCGCAGGTGCGCGCCCTCCCTTTTGCTTGTGCTCGATCGCGTGTGGGTTGCTTTGCTGACATGGTTTATGTCGATAGGTTTCACGGTAATTGTTGGAAATTTCGGAGCTGGCTGGCTGGTTTGGGCTGCACGCAAGGGGGGGCATGTTTTAACTAGCGCTGAGCTGGGTTTGATACTATGAATTTTGATGGCATTCAGGTTCCATTTCCAGTGGCACTCGAGGTCAACGTTGTTCTGATTGGGTTCATGAACGATGGGGGTTATCGATTCCACCTGGATCACGACAAATTGCATCAGCACATGAAGTCAAGTTTTCCTACGCATCGACCCTCTTGTATGGAAACGGGCGAAATGCTGGACATTGAATTCGACATAAGTTACAATATCGTACCTGTAAGTTCTGCAGATAACCTAGGTATCAACTTGGTGTTTGTGAAGCCCAATGTGCTCAATGTGCTCAATAATTCATAATGGCGCAGACTGTCTCTAGAGTTCAGGGCGTCTAGGGTTTTTCTTGGTCATTGGCGTGTGGTCGTATACTTACTCGGCATGATTTTGAGCCTTATGTATTTGGTTGTTCTATTTGGTTCTTTATTTCGAGATTAAGAGAATTATTTTGCCATGCGGCTCTTTTTCAGGTCGGCCGAACGGAACTCCTTGCGACGGAATATGAAATCAGGGAGAAGATGGTAGAGAAAGGTGTAGCTAGAGAGGTACAGTACTCAATCAGCATTATGCTAGAACGTATGCTTCCATGCCTCGAAATTTATTCATTTGTTTGTCTTTCCTGTGACCGGGTTGAACTTTATCTAAACCTTTTCTTAACGTAATGGTTGCAGAGTGAATTTGGTAAGGAAGTTCCATGTTTTGAGGTCGAAGCAACAGCAGTGGAACCAACTTTTAATAGGCTCTATAGTTACTTGTTTGGACTTCCGGCAGATGCGAGTGCGGACCTTGACCCTAACAGAGCCTTACCAAACGCAATTTTCATACTCAACCTCGACAAGGTATGCTTGCTGTACTAAGATCTTGCTCTATAAAGTCTGAGCTTAGATATTTTAACCATTCTTGTTAGCGAACGAGAGGTTACGTCTTGTTAAATAATTTAGACTCAGGAATCATAATAGCTACTAGGATGATTTTAGTACACTTTGGGGTTTTCAAAGTGTAACCATGTTTGTTCCAACGATGTAGGAATTACTAAGAGTTAACCGTTGGACATTTTGAAAGACAATCTTGTCCAGCTTCTGACTGATTCGTGACATGCCACATTGGAACTTACTGTGGAGTGTTTGCAGGCCCGGATGGACCCGAAAAATATGACCGGAGAACCCCTTGGTTTTGACAGCCTTTCCGAACTCAATGCTGAGCAATTTCAGAACCAAGAAGCTGGCTATGTTTATCGGTATCGGTACAATGGAGGTGCTGCCTCGCAAGTCTGGCTTAGTCACGGAAGGTGTGGAACTTCGTGAGAGTTGATGTTGCGTCTTCTGATGGATGTCTCTACGTTGAATGAGATGGTAGCAGTTGGTATTTCAGCAGACTTGGGAGGTTTTTAAGTCCATCAAATTTTGGTTGGTACCTTAAAATTGAGGCCTGCCAGAAGAGCTGGTGGGAACACTTACAACACTGGACATAGTTCACCAGCTCTATCATATTTCATACATATACTCTTTTGCTTGACCTTCTTTTGACATTGTTCTATGTAGGTATGCGGTAATTGACATTTCAGCGGGACCTTGCTCATACGGGAGACTGGAATCAGAGGAAGGGAGTGTAGGACACAGAACAGTACCCAGACTCCAGCACCTTTTACTTCCTGCGCGTAGTCCCGTTGTCAACCCTTCCTTGGTAGAAGACGTTTTTTGTGGTCAAATATCTGGAACAATAGTGTCTGCTCTGGAGCACGTCATCGCCCCAGATGTCAGGTAGTATGCACTGAGCTCAATGCTCCCTGACCAGCAAATACAAGCATCATATCTCATTCAGCTACTGCATATATTTTTAAATCCATGTAACAATCTAGTTTTTGCTGTTTCGAAGTATTTTGTACACTCGAACAAGGCAGGAATAAGCACCAATCTCAGCTGATTTACTTATGTGAGATTGACAGGTTTGAAACTGTTGATGTATCATCACGCTTGTTGGTGCCCATTATCGTTCTGCGAAACCATTTGCATTATAGCGTACTTCAACCTGGAAATAACCACAGCATAGATGTGGATGCGATCAGACATCAGGTTAGCTTGACAGTACAGGCCCTTACTGAGGTTTTGAACTCCTGAGTTTACCACAAGTTTGATTCAAACATAAACTTTTTCATTTTAGAATTTCAACCTGGCTGATAAAGCGAATAAAATCCAATTTACTAGATTTTTGAGATGTTTTTCATCTGATAAAAAGTCGTTATGAAGCATTTCAGTCTCAATTGAACGCTTTTTACTCTGGCAGATTGTGATTTCAGGTTGTCAATCTGTAGGCAATGATAATGTATGAAATTATGTCATCAGCGGAGGGGTGCAATTTAGACCTACTATGAAACACCTAATTATTCAAAAGGTCCTAACGCCAAGTTATATGTGCATTTTCTTTATATTTATAGATTTTGAATTTATTTTACAGAGTGAATGTGCTGTGTTGAAAGGTAGCTAGCCCACATCGCTCAGGCTGCTTTCTGGTTAGGTAATCATGTTGTGTTAAGTGTGATTCTGCAGGTGAAGGGGATGCTGCAGCCTCGGCAAGAAGTTATGGTTGTGGCAGGGATACACAGTTTACATGATCATGAACGCCTGGCCATGGCTGTGGCAAAAGCCATGCGAGGAATGTCCACTCATGACACACGGTCAGATGGCCGCTTTCACGTTAGAACCTTGACCTTTCTCGACGGAGCTGTGCTGCGAGAGGTATGTCGCACATATTCAAGCGTGATACATTTCTTATGGTTTAGCTCGAATGGATTATGGCTCAAACACACACACACACACTCTCTCCCTCCCTCCCTCCAAATGATAAATTTTAAAAAATAAAAACAATAAATAAATCATGATTGCGTAGGTTAATACAACTTTGCTTAAGAGTAACAGGAGGATTTGAAGTTAAGATTGACCTGGAACATGATCTTCGAACAGGATCATAAGTGTTGGGCAGGTCTAAGATTCAATGTTCTGATTATGCAGGAAATGCGACACTCTGCTGATGTACTTGCTGCAGGAATTCTAGAAATGGCTGACCCAGAACTTTCTACGAGGTATTTCAGACACAGGCAACCACAGGTAAGGTTGTCGTCTTTTTCAGTTTATAACTATTGTAGATTCATTATCTTAGTCATCTTGTCTTTATATATTAAGAGGTTACGTATGTTTTATACAGTTCTACCGTCTGTTATTTTGTATGGTAAGAACTCATGATTTCTAGAAATCAAGGACTTTTCTGATGTGTGATTTTTTTCAAATATAATAGCATGGCTGGGAGGAACCGCCCAAAAATGAAGAGGGCACTGTGGTAAAATCACGCCAGCTAAGGTACCCATACGGCAAAAAGAGTGCACAGGAAAAGGATGCCAAAAGGACTGGTCGAGATCGCAAGCTTTCAGACTTGGTAGCACCAGTTTCTAAGTCTCACGGTACCCGAGTAATCCCTGTGTAAGTATATACACACAACATTAGTACATATAGATATGTATCGTCCGATTACACCTTCAAGTCTTATGACAATTCATGCCTGTATGTTCCGATTGTGAAATGCATGTTTTGTGATACAATAAGTATATTGTTGAAGGCCTGAAGTTCTCAAGATTGGTGTTTGGGTGTGATGCAGATTTGTCTTGTCTTTGGAGGGAGTGGATCCACAGCTTCTGATGGAAGGAGAAAATCTCATGTGGGTGAGTCATGACGCTGTATTCGTCCTCCAACATTCTGGAGGCCCTATAACTCTCAGGTTAGACTTACAGGCCTGCTCACATTTTGATATATCGTGCTATCTTTCAATATTTCTAGTCATGTTTTCAAGTACAGTAGACCGTTTGCTACGCAGTTGTAGAATTTTGAAGGCACCTTTGTTTAGTCGTACAAAATTGATAATGTATTGATGTTCGTACTTCCTCACATTAGCTGTTTGAATGTGGTAGTGCTGTGTCAGAAACAAAAAGAATGAAAGCAACACCAAATTCTCCACAACGTCATATAATAGCCGGGCTTGCGGCTGTAGTTGGTGGACTGGTAGCACCCTATGAGAGGGCATCACATATACATGATCGCCCTATCCTTGATTGGCTTTGGGCTTCAGGTCACCATCCCTTCGGCCCCTTCTCAAATACGTCTACCGTGAGCCACATGCTGCGTGACACTGCAAGGGTGAGCCTGTGTTGATACGTGTTTCCTTTTCCACTTCATTTTAATTTCAGGTCATACTATATCACGGCTGCGGTTCCACCACGCCATGATTAGTTATCTTTCTCGAGTTCATGGCTTTTTGGCTGTGTTCCGAGCATTTTTCTGCATAGGTTTTTGTTTGGCTCAAAGTTGTCTCCGCGATGTTGTAAGTTTCTTTTCAAACCTTGTACCTGCAGGGTATTTGCATATTGTGTGATCGTTCTGAGGATTGCGTGCCTGTGGCTGATATGGTGCAGCGTAATGCAGTCTATGCCCGCATGCATGTCGCGTTGAAAACTATAAGAGAGTCCACTGATAACATCCAAGCATTTATCAGTGAGCACCTTCGCACACCTATGGGAGAAGAAGTTAAAGGCGAGAAGAAGAAAAACAAAGTAGAGCTATGGATTGACAAGTTCTATAAGAAAACAACCGCCTTGCCAGCCCCCCTACCACATGAAAAAATGGAGAGGTTGGAGAACTATTTGTCCACTTTGGAGGATCAGCTGGTGCAACTGTCATCCCTTCTTTACGATCACCAAATCAAGGACGCCCTAGGAAACGCTTCCACTGTCATGCAGTCTGCTCTTTTTACCCAAGAGTAAGAAGTCACTTTTAAGCGATCCTCCAGTCCTTGTTATATTGGCGTGCCAACAAGTGTGGTTGTAGTGATGTGCTTTAAAATACTTGCTTTTTCTGTTAAACATTTACTGATTGCGTGTTCCTGTTTTGTATGCAGCTATGTAGAACACATGATAGCATCGGAGAGGGATACTATGCGGTGCTGCAAAGTTATTTATGCGAGGGCAGTGCAGTCCACACAGACATTCCTTTACGGTGGAATTCTAGTAGCTGGATTCCTCGTGTACTTTTTGGTAATATATTTCTCTTCTTCAGAGCGATGATATTCATCTGTTTGTCTAAAGTTAGACCTTCCCTCTTCCTCGCTCGCCCTCTGACTCCAACTCATCTTGGATAGCCCAAGTTTTCAACAGTTCATAAAGACGATTTAAGGCACGGACAACGTAGTGTTTGCACATCTGCATCTTGTATGTATAAAGCACCATGTTCAATAGCCAATTTAAACTGCATTGTTATTTCTTTTTTTATTGATTGAATGAGCTATTAAAAAGATTATAAGTTGAAAGAAATAACAACTTACATCTCAATAAGAATTTAGCCAAGAGTTGGGAGATGGATGATTCATGCCCGATACGAAGCAATAATATTGCCATTGATTTCATGCCAATTTTTGTAACATCGCCTCACTTTGAGCTTCTTTTCACTTTTAAAAATACCTAATAAAACAACATTACTCACTTAAAAACAATCTTAAAACAGTCTCAAAACAATCCATTAGAATTCTCTACTTGATCTTGAAACAACGTGGAATCAATAGTAGAATTTAGTTTTGGAAACAATTGCATTACAACTTTGTGTCAAGATGTGTTGCAACTTGAGGTTGCAGCATGTTGTGACTTTAGGGTTCCATCACAACTTTATATTGTAATGCAGTCATTTGTCACTTATGCTTGGGAGTTGTCTCAAGTGATTCCCTTCACTCCCGAGGTGACTTTCAACTCTCTAAACTAAGTCTAAATCGCAACTTAGATGCTAAAGGAGTTAGGTCATAGAACCTTCTTTTGAAGCACCTGAGACTCATCTCCAAGTTCTAATTTTTCCTCACTCCACATGGTGCCTCCACACTATGTGAATCTTGGAGTGAAGAAGGTGGCCCTTACAACCTCTCCATTGCTAACTTGCCACAACACTCCCATGCACATTGAGAGTGTCTTGACCATTAAATCTTAACTTCTTTTTTCTTACAAAATGTTTCAATAAGTAGGTAAAAGGATCAAACTTTTTTGACCCTTATACCTTCTTTCACTTTGGAAAGTCAATGTCTTCATTGACACACAATTTGACATTTTTGTTGAAGAGGCTATTTTTTCTAGAAATATACTTCTAGAAGATATCTTGCACTATATCCTTTCCTTCTCTACATAGCTTGAAGGCTCTTTTCTACCTAGCTTCAACTTTATTCCTCTTTTTCTTAGGAGTTGAGGTTTCCTTCATTGCTTTTTGAAATGGAATGCTATTCTTTTTTCACATTTCTTGTGCAATTTCTTTTTTTGCTTCCAACTTTCTTAAGTTCTTCCAATTCTTTGATTTGAAAGTTTACACTTTCTAATATGAATCATGATGACTTGCATCCTCACTTAGACTTTGCCATAACTATTGAATTCTTTAAGTAAGACTTGCCTTATCTTAATACCCTTTTTTATTCTATGGAAGTGACTTGCAATCACTCAATGAGAAATCCATTTAGGAAAGGCCAATCAATTAGTCCTAATTGCTAAAAATCTTGTTACCACTTCATAACTTCTTAAGGTTTCCTTCTACAAAGTCTCCTTGGGTTGGAATCCTTTCAAATCTTTCATCTCTTGAAAACTTCTTCTACTATTGTCTTTTGGAACTTATTTTTTTAAACTTTTTCTAAGTAGTATCTTCCACCAACATGTCTTGTTCATTTAGTGTTATTTATGGTTCTTCCATACTTTGGCTCATAACTATGTATCTTTTATTGTCACATAGGATTGTGACCCTCTTCCATTTTAGAGTGAAAATGTCTCTATCTGCTTGATCACCTTTATTTGCCTCTTTTAACTTTCATCAAAGAATCACCTTGGTAATTTTTGATATGTTTCATTGTGGTCTTTGGTCTTTTATAGTCACATATTTTTTTATTGAAAGCCATAACTAATCCTTGCACATGTCTCAAGTTCCTTTTATTTATCCATTGGAACTCAAGTAGATGGTAACCTTTGAAAGTACACAAGTATTGAATTTCTCTCACATTCATACATTTCTTATCAAGCATTGCTTCTACTTGACCCATAGTTTGTTTCCACATCTCTTCTTGAGCTAGAATCTTAATCTTCTTTATATAGAAGTCTCTCACATCTTCCACAAATTTTTAAAAAATACTTATATAGAAAATCGGATGCTACTTCAATCTCTTTGATATGTCCAAGATATACATATTCTTGTGTCACACTCTTTTAACTTCATAAAGACATGTCTACTTTTGAGTCCACTTAAAAATGAGATGTGTTAGATAAGTGAGGTTACTTGTATTCAACTATATTTTGATTCTTTTTACATAGTGCACATCTCTTTTTTATTTATTAGCTTGTTTCTTATATCTTCTTTGAACTAACTCAAGGCTAACTTTGGCAATTTTTATTATGGTCTCTCTTTTGGCCATCTACCTTACTCCTTCTGTTGAATAGAAGCCAAAAGTTATTTCATCACTTTGCCTAACTCCTATCAAGTCAATTGGCTTAAGTGCATTCAAACCATGAACTATTTGGAAAGATGTGTTTCCTAAGGATTTTTTTGGAATAATATTATAATTGAGCTCTGTTATAAGCAATCATTTGATCCAATCCTTATAGTTATTTATTACACAGTGCCTCAGGTATATTGAAAGAAAACCATTGAGCCTTTCAATTTGGCCATCTCATTGTAGATGCCAAGCAGTTGTTAGTATTATTTTGAAACCTAACTTTTTTATAACATGTTGCCAAAATTGAGTTATAAATCTCACATCTCTATCACTCACAATTGAGGTTGGCACTCCATATAAGAAATCTATCAATAAAAAATAAATAAATAAATAAATAAATAAATAAAAACATTCATCACACTTTAGTAAGCTAGTTATGAAATCCACCTTTGATTGTATATAGTGTTTATTTCTTTAACACATCAAACAACTTCTTACATATTGGTCCACATTCTCTCGTATAGAAGGCCAATAATAAGATTTTTTCACATCTTTAAGTGTAATCTTCACATCTCTATGTCTTCCACATGGAGAGTCATATATTTTATATATTATTTTTTTCTCTATTTGTCTTATTGTACATAGAATCTACTTTGCCTACATCAAATAAGTCCATTTTTTACAAAGGAGACTCGTGTAAGTCTTCTATGTTCTCTTGTAGCTTTAGTTTGAGCAAATGTTTTTCTTATTTTAAGTGCATCCTCACCTTATTTATAATCTTTTTTAATGACTTTTATAAGTAGAGAATCATTGTAATATACTTTTATCTTTAGTATCATTGTATCATGAAACTTTTCTTCTATGAATTCTTCCTTTCTATTTAGTGCATCTGGGACCAAGTTATCTTTGTCCAATTTGTAAATAAGTTCAATATCCATTGAAACTATTACATCATACTATTTCAATTTTTTAGGAGAGGCTTCTGCTTTTGAAGTAAAGTACTTAAAAGAAATGTTATTTATATGTACTTTTATTTTTTTACTTTTCAAATAGTATTTTCAAGCCTTCAAGCAATGTACTATTGCAAATAATTCTTTTTCATGTATTAGCTACCTCAATTGGCTCCGACTTAACTTCTTACTTTCAAAAGCTACAAGTCTTCTTTCTTAAATTAAGACTCCTCTAATTGCAAAATCACTTGTATCTATATGGACTTCAAATTCCATATCAAATTTAAAATAGAACAAAATACTACTTGATATTAAAGTATTCTTTATCTCTTGAAAAGACTCTTTACATTCCAAACCTCACCTTATGGTTTTGTTATCCTTTTTCAAAAGACTTATAAGAGACCTAGCAATTTTTGAAAAAATTCTTGTGAACTTTCTATAATAATTTGATAGTTTTAAGAAATTTCTTATTTATTTTTGTATTTTTGGTACCTCTTAGATTTTCAATGCTTCTATCTTCTTTGAGTTTTGTATTAGTCCATCTCCATTAATAATATGTCCTAAGAATTCCAACTCTTCTAAGAAGAAAATTCTTTTTTCCAAATTGGCAAAGAGTTGATTATCTCTTAGTTTCTTTAAGATTATTTTTAAACATAGCTTATATTCTTTTTTATTCTTAAAAAATACTAAAATTCCATCAATATAAACTACCATAAATTCATCACTTTTCATATAAAAGAAAAAGTTCATCAAAGTGATAAAGATAGCAAGAGTATTATACAATCCAAAAGGCATTACTACAAATTCATAGAAAACATATTTAGTTATACAAGCAATTTTTTCTATGTCTTTTTGATCAATTTTTATTTAATAGTAACCATTCTTAAGATCGATTCTACTAAAATACTTATTACTATCCAATTTATCCAATAAGTCATCAATTCTTAGAAGTGATTAGTGTTGTTTTATAGTGATTTTATTTAAGGCTCTATAATCAATGCACATCCTCATTTTTCCATCTTTCTTGCTCATAAAAAGGACTAAGATTCTAAATGGAAATTTATTTTGCTTAATATATTCTTTTTCAAACAATTCATTGAGTTGTTTTTTAAGTTCACTTAATTCTACTTGATTCAGTCTATAAGGTGTCAAACTTGGTGGTTGTATACTTAAAATTAATTCTATCTTATGATCTATCAATCTATTAGGTGAAAATTCTTTTGAAAGTTTATTTTTTAATACATCTTCAAACTCCATCATAGGATTTTTAATACCTTTTGTAAAGTATAGAGTTGTCTTTAATAATTCTTTTTTATTATAAGAAAAATCATTTATACATTCAAAATCAAAATCACTACTTCCCAAGTGTAAGAAGAATTGTTCTCCTTCTAATTTACTTTGAGAAATTATAGAGATTCTAGATTGATATAACATGAAGAGATTTGTATATGATAAGTTTATTATTTTTCCATTCTCTTCAATCATGATTACTCTTACTTTGAACTTCCATCAAAGTTCTACTCTATAGAAGTCTAAGAAAGTATTTCCTAATATTACATCTATTTCATTAAGGTTACATATTACAAAGTCTTTTTGAAACCTTATATTTCCACACTTGAACTTTACATCTTTTACAACCAAATTGATTGTCTCTCTACCTTAAAGAAAAGACACCTTCATCTCTTTGGTTGGTTCTTAAATCAACTTCAACCTCTTGGCACAAGTTAAACTTATGAATAAGTTGGTTGTTTTAGTGCTTTATTCACTATGGTCAATCCTTTGTTTTTCCATCTCTAATAGTGAAGCCAAAGCAAAGGCATCATTGATGTTCATTGGAATTATTTCTCTCTTTTAATAT